CTAATGTAGAGACGCGAATAACATGTACTTCTTTTGTACGCACATTCCTGCCTACATCTCATGAATGGCAACAGCATCGGTTGCTTTAATGAATTGGATTCGAAGAAATCTAGGTAGATTTGGATAAATTGTATCAACAACCATAAAATTAACCTGCGAATCGTTTGAGTGATTTGAATCAACTAAATGTCCAAGAATGCAACTTCTAACTGAATTCCTTACACCCTTGTAGAATCACACTGGTACATGTTCTCGTGTCCGAGTTAAAAGCAAGCGGTGGCTACGGTCTATATATCTTGATCCATAAAAGCAAGTGAACTGGTAGATGCACATGGAGGTGACCAGACAAGGAAGCTTACATTTGACGGATAAAGAAAAAAGGTTCCTACTAGTGAACGTCATTTGCAGCTTTGCTGTTTAGAACGTACTTTTTATCGATTTTTAATTACACCAATTGATTGCATGTAATGAAAAGGTAATGATGGTTCAAAGTCACTATCGTAGGGTTATTCAAGCAAACTATATTAATCAGGTTTTATTAGTTATATGATATAAATTACTAATATTCGAATGCTTGAATTTCAAATTCTACAAATAAAAAATCATAGATTTTCGTCACAGTGAATAACATGTTGTTTATTCTCAAGTGTTTTAGGTAAAATCTGAAAATTAAGGATGTGTTTAGCTTGGATACATAAAAGGATTTAGATGAACATTATATATACATTTATTTGCGATACAACTTAGGGTAATAAAAGGACCAAGTAAAGACAGTTTACACTCTTAGCAGGTACATTTACTGCGTTTACTGGTTTAAACTTTACAATAATGAACACAGTAATCAGTCATTAATTGATTGTTTGGAATGATTTTTACTTAAAGGAAAATCTATTATTTCATTTGGATATTTCCTAAAAGCGTGCTTTCAAATACTGTTAAATTAGATATAACACATATATATGTTTAATGCTTCATGACCGTGTAACGGTTCAGTTCTTCACCGATGTGCCACCTGGCGTCCTCCCTCTGCATCCCAAGCCTGGACTCAGATTGATCACATCGCGATCAGCTACCGCTGGTGTGGTTGTGTACAAGACTGCCGCTGCTTTTGGAGTACCTATCTGGACTCTGACCATGCCTTGGTCTGCGCCAATCTTACCTTACTTTTCAGTGGACAACAAAGTGACCGCCACCAACAGATTGATGTTAGCAAGCTGGTTGCAACTTCTGTTGCAAATAAGTATCGAACCGAGCTAGCCTCTAGGCTAGCTACCATTCCACCGAAAAGTATAGGTGAGCGTTGGTTGCAATTGCATGACGCCATGAAAATGGTGGGCACAGTCAGTTGTGAGTTTGCGAAACGTCCCGCTTTTAAGCACTGGGTTTCTTCTGGTTCCTTACAACTCATTGAAGCCCGTCGGTCTACTCCGGGTGACCGTGAGTTTGACCACAAACGAAGGTTGTTACGTAGTGAAATTGGGCAAAGCTTGCGTAAGGACCGAGAAGCCTGGTGGTCGGAGCGTGCTAATGAGCTGGAAGCAGCAGATGCATCTGGTAATTACCAACGTCATGGAATGAGTCGATAGTTGTCGTTCCTGTAACAACTATCGGGGGATAAGTCTACTTCCGATTGCGTCCAAGCTATTGGCTTCCGTCATACTTCGTAGGTTGTTCAAAACCCGAGAAAGGTTGACTCGCGAGGAGCAGGTTGGGTTTCGTTCGGGTCGAGGATGTATTGATCATATCTTCACCCTCCGCCAAATGTTAGAACACCGCCATACTTATCAAAGGCCAACAATCGTAGTGTTTCTTGACATCAGGGCTGCTTTCGATTCGTTGGATAGGACTGTTCTTTGGGATTGTCTATTGAAGAAGGGTGTGCCTGAGAAGTTTATTAACATCCTGAAAGCCCTATATAAAAACACCTCAGGCAGAGGGCATACAACCACCTCTCTCCATTGTTCCATTCGAGCAGTGGGGTTAGGCAGGGTTGCCCAATCTCACCATTCCTCTTCAACTTTGCCATCGATGACATTCTTCATAAAAGTGGTTGTGTCTTCCTTACCTGAAAGATTTCTTCCGATTGTATCTTTCCGTCCCCTCATTATTACCACACTACCTAACACCAATCTCTTCGTTATTGTTATCTTTTTTTCTTGCGCTCCTTAACTTTGTTTTTCTTTCTTCTCTTCGATTTCTCATTGTTTTGTGTGGCACATAAATATTTGCGCTCTCTTGTTCCAATATTTATGTGTTCAAATAAATAAATAAATCAGTTCTTCTATTCACTCTGACTTGTGTTACATTAATTTGATGTAAATATGTAGTTCTCCGAAATTTAAATGGTCGTTTCCTAATTATTTGAGTAATGGAAATATATTTAAACTTTTCGACAATCTCTTGAACCTAATTTCATTGATAACCTGAAGGCTATAGTTAATCTGAAACGAGGAAAGGCAGCTGGTCCAGATGGATTGGCTCCAGAGGTCTTTAAGGATGGTGGTCCAATTTTAGCGATTAGGTTGACTAATATTTTAGCTAAGATCTGGGAGTTAGACGTTATCCCATCTAACTGGTCACAATCACTTATCGTCCCAATATATAAGAAAGGGTCAAAATCATCCTGTGACAACCACAGAGGGATTAGTTTAACTAATATAATATCTAAAATACTAGCCTCGATAATTATCAGACGCCTAACTAAGACTCGTGAACTGCAAACACGAGAGACTCAAGCTGGCTTCAGACCTGGTCGTGGCTGCATCGACCACATATTCACCATTCGTCAGATTCTAGAACACAGGCATACTTATCGGCGTCCGACAATGGTGGTCTTTCTCGACTTAAAAGCAGCATTTGACTCGGTAGACCGCGAGATTCTGTGGCAGTGTCTGTCATTGAAAGGCGTACCCAGAAGTACATAAACCTTGTAAAGGCTCTTTACTCGAACACTACTAGTCGAGTCAGAGCTTATGGCGAACTGTCATCTACTTTTGCAACCTCAAGTGGTGTCCGTCAAGGCTGTCCACTTTCCCCATTTTTGTTTAACTTCATCATAGATCTACTGATGGAAATAACTTTCTCGTCGACTGAGTTCTCGGGTATTGATCTCCATCCAGGAGGTCCACTTATCGACTTAGAATACGCAGATGACATAGTCCTGTTTGGTGAAGACGCTGATGAAATGCAGAGTCTTCTGGTAGCACTGAGCAACAATGCCAGAATGTTTGGAATGCGCTTCTCTCCCTCTAAATGCAAGTTGTTGCTTCAGGACTGGTCTGCGTCAACACCTGAACTAAGGATAGGGAGTGAAGTAGTCGAACGCGTTGACAACTTCACTTATCTTGGAAGTCTGATCAGCCCTAATGGGTTGGTGTCTGACGAAATCTCAGCACGGATTCGAAAAGCTCGCTTGGCTTTTGCCAACTTACGTCACCTATGGCGAAGGCGAGATATCCGTCTATCAATAAAAGGACGAGTATACTGCGCGGCAGTCCGTTCTGTTTTAATTTACGGCAGCGAAACATGGCCATTAAGAGTAGAAGACACTCGTAAGCTACTAGTATTTGACCACAGATGCCTTAGAAATATTGCTGGCGTCTGCTGGGATCACCGGGTAAGTAATAGTGAGGTTAGACGCAGGGTATTAGGAAATGATGGTAAATCAGTTGATGAGGTTATGAATCTTCATCGACTGAGATGGTTGGGCCACGTGTTACGTATGCCTGAATACCGATTACCACGACGTGCAATGCTGACTAGTGTTGGGGATGGTTGGAAGAAAGTTAGGGGCGGCCAAACCAAAACGTGGCATCAGTGCTTGAAGACACTAACTTCTAGTCTGAGCCATGTTGGTAGATGCAGACTACTTGGTTGGGGTCCGCGTGACTATCGTAACCAATGGTTGGAGACTGTGGGCGACATGGCTCAGAATCGATCACAATGGCGTCGGTGTATACACTCTCTATCTTCTCTCAAACTAAGAGATTAAAATCGCTTCATATTTTTCTTTCTACGAACTAATTCTTTCTTCCTGTACTATATCCTTATTGCAATCTTTCTTTTATATATTACCACCTCTGAATTAACCACTTATATGAATCCGGTGTCCATCTTGTTATGTTAATGAGGTATGGCAACTTGGACCGCTGCATATATGTGCCTGGTCCTACGTTGTAGCTGACTGACTGACTCACTGATAACCTGAATAAATTCACTGATAATCATGCGGTAACTTAAACTTTATTCTCTACTCTGTAGAAATGATTACATATGAACTATTACTCTACCAAAACACGAATTAATTACGCAACCATTCATCAGATATTACTAATGTTCAACGGTAAAATTACACCAACACATTTAGCGGGATAGTACTAAAACCGACACTTCCACTATCCTTTTCACTCTGAATCAAACAAAATTATCATAGACACTATGTATTTCCGATTCAGATCGAATGAAACCCAGAAGTAGAACAATCAATCATCACTAGAAACACAGATATAAAAGTTAATCAATTCATGACACTCTCCAGCTTTACTGTATATAAGCATATTTCAAATCATTTTTTGCTTCACGTAAAGACCTCTTTCGTAGTTCAAGAAAATATTGGTTATAAAATAAATTCTTAGGAAGAAAACTCGTTCTTTTATCTACAGTTTACTAATCATATTAATGTCATATAAAATGACTGGAATCTTAAATAAAAGAGACCAGTTTTTAGAAATCAGTACCTAATTATAACTATAGTTGACTGACTTTAGAATGTACAATTATGAAATTGTTTCCATGACATTTGTTCATTGTATTTCCTTTAAGTATCAATAGTGTTTACATTCACCCAGAATCACAAGTAGCCCTATGAATATTGAAATCATCTAATTGCTTATAATGTCATTGATATATACACTCATCAAATACAGAATAGAATCATGATCAGCAAATTAAGTTCTACATTTCATCCAAAGAAAACCCAATCATAAACAATTTGAATAATCTGACATGTTAAAATATTTATTCGAACTAAATCACTAAATCGCAAGGATTCAAATATTGAATTGAAGAAGAAATGAGATAAACAACAATAGGGATTGAATGAAGTTTCAGGTTGTTAAATTATAAGGGTAACTTGAAAATGACTAGATAATATCACAGAACGACATATCATCTTATTCAAAATTCTTCAATAATATGGTACTATTTTGACTATAAAAATGGAAAATAGTAAAACTACTAAGCGAAATTCCATAGCTTTACATTGGTATACAAATTGATAACTTCAAGAAAGACAAGGAGTGAAACCTGATTTGTCTAGATTTTACTCATGATCAATTGCTTTCGTTTACATGGAACTTTCTGATGACAAAGGCTTTTTCCCTCCAAAACTATGTGTCATAGCTAACACCGGTGACTCAGTTGCCAGTGTGACCAAGTATGCCAAGCAATAAGTAATTGGTAGAACGGCAAAGAACATAACTATCTGGAAGAAGAGAGATTAAAACAGTCAGTTGTATCTGTACTAAACCGTATAAACATACATATATTCATGTTTGTATTAATCGTTTGAATTGTTGTGTCTTCATGGTATCGTCCGCTAGTTATCACGTACTCTAGTCGCCAATCAAAATAAGACTTATTCGCTCTTATACTGTACTAAACCAATCACGTCCGACCGGCCTGATCAGCCTAGCATCCTATTGGTCCTTCTGGGTAATGCACTATGTCGAGTGTTGAATTGCCATTCTATTTGTTTATTCTTCCAGAGGCTGGTTCTAGGTTATCGTCTCATTTGTTCTATAGGTATTCTAATCTTTTTTTCAAAAATTGCTTCAGCTGGACTTTCGTGATTATTTGTTGCTTTGCTGAGTTTGGTGTTGCACAGTAAGTTAGTAAAAATCTTTGAATCATATCTTCTATTTCTCTTTCTCCTTCGACTTTAAGCAGTGGTCTTTTAAACGTGTCTACGAACCTCTCGACTAAACCGTAAGACTGCAGATGGTATGGAGGTGTCTTCATCTGCCTAACGGCATTGGCAATGCAGAACTTCGAAAATTCGACAGAGGTAGGTAAACTGTGGTCCATTATCTGACACCAATATATCTGGACACCCAAAGCAGCTGAATACTTGTCTCAGTTTTCGATAGTAGCTCTTGTCGAAACAGACTTCATGTAGTGGACCTGTGGCCATTTTGAGAAGGCATCAACGATTAACAAGTACTGTTTTTCCTCTATAGGACCGACTAAATCCACATGCACTCTCGACCATGGATTTGTCAGTGCTCCCCAACTCTGCATTTCTGTCTTGTCAGGGGCTTTGATGGCTTTCGCACACGCGGAACATCTCGCAACATATTGTTCGATCTTAGCATCAATATTCGGTCAATATACATAGCCACTTGCAAGTGCCTTCATCCGTGCTACCCCTGGGTGTGCAGCATGCAGTTCTAACATCACCTTTCAACGTAATTTTGTTGGTACAACTACTCGGTTCCCAAACATCAGACACCCGTCCATTAGTGATAGGGAATTTCGTCGTTGAGCATATTTTCCAATGTTTTTGTTGCCGAATAGTTAACAAGTTGTATAACACCGTTAGTTATTATGTAATCTATTCGCTAATCAAAATACGACGAATTCGCCCTTATATCAATGACCTCCGACTATTCTGATCAGCCTAGCATCCTGTTTCTTCGTTGCTCGTCCAGCTGAGTCCAGAATGCCAACAACAGCCTCCGCTATGCAAATCATTTAATTCAGACATATTGGGTTTACAGAAAAAACAAACAGACCGCAACGCAACATAAAATAAGGAATAGCATTCATACACAATAATGCCAAAAGGTGGCTGTGAACGTGTGAGACGATAATTAATAAACCAAATATAATCTAACAACAGTAAATCGTACAATAATAATCTATAGGTCAAAACGAAGCTTCTAATAATAAGGGGAATATAGATATACACAATCTAACGACTGAATAGTTATACCATAAGTTCATACAGATAATATTAGTTCATTGATAGGTCTCAGAAGTTACTTGTAATGTAATCTTCGCTAGGATATAACATGAATGTATATGTATGCATACATATATTTCCAGATTGTTTGCATTGTCATACTACAATCGAAACACTAAATTATTGTTCAATATGTATTTTTGTTTATCTACCTCATTACAACAGTCTCCGAAGTTTGAAAACTGTTTGAACATTTGTGGATGAAAAACAAGAAATTAGTTAATACATTGAATGATATAATCGTGAGATTTCGATGAAGAATCCAGTGAATAAAAACGTAAGTCGACACGCTTGAACATAGAGTGATCACTCTATACTCTATCTTTATTCACTACCGAAATATATTAAATGAGAACAGATCGTGGTTCAGTTGGATAATTTCGGTTTGATCATCAAAATCTACTTCGATTATTCAACGAAACTCAGTGTTTGTAGAGCCACAACAGTAAAATCGACTGATTGTGATTTCAGAGAAATTCACTAACATGTTCAAATGCCTAATTTGCATTCAAATACTAAAACATGTGTTCCACATAATGATGGAAGATTATTGAGAACACACAGTCTCAACATTAATTATTTCCTAAACTAATACTTTGAATATGGATTTACGAAGTTAGATAGATGGCAAGTATCATGTCATATAACAATATTATCATAACAATTCGACAGGAAATACACGAGAAAATATTACACTTTATTCGACCAACACCACATGTAAATTGAGTGTGAACTATAAAAACACAGGCTTTTCTGGTGCAATTTGTTCCAATCGAAAGTACTTTGTGGAGTTATTCATTTAAGAAATAAATGCAAATATGTGATTGGTTGGTGATTTACAAAGATCGACAGTGACCAACACCCACCCTTTACACCAATTCACCTTAAGTCAAACAAAACAATAGGAACTTCGTTTGTTGACTTTAACAGTTCACAGTTTCATTCTTAGTGAATTGTTATGACAAACATCTCTTCTAATACATCCCATTCTCCGTAATTAATTGGACCGCAAACTTCAGAAGGTGGAAATGTTACGAGTTGTGATTTATTTTATAGAACATAAGAGACCAGTAATATCTGTTTGACAAGTTAACTGCAGAATCAATTCCATCAGACTAACCATGAGAGTTGCCATAAAAATATCAAATATGTGGATTGTTAACTTAAATGTGTGTAATGACTATCAATGCAAGATGTTGGTCATTAGAAGGTGATGCTGATAAAAGGTTCTGATCAATCTCCTGCAGTATCTCAAATAAATCTCTACTTCAAAACTAAACTATTCAAGATAACATTAAATTGTTACAGTTCGAAACTCAAGCTAGTCAGTTGTTATAAAGATGTATCAGTAACCAGACTGAATTATAGAATACTTGATAAATCCTGTTCACAACATTCAATTACGTTTTATAACTCAAAACAGGACTCACCAAATGCAGGTCATCCAGCAGTATTGGGTTCTGACTTCCTAAAGCGATGAATAAAACCACTATCGGATGTACAAGATAAGCTGTATATGTCAACCGTGAAGGAACACGGAATACAGACAATGTGAGAATCCAGCGAATTGGACCTGTGTAAGCATGGAATGGTAGAAAAAGGAATTTAGATTCGTCCAAACTAATGTGACACAGTATATTTGTCATGAAGTCAAACTTTATGAAATATGAGAGTAATATCGGATTATTTCATCTGGTTCATATAGTCTCACGTTTTCTGCTCACTGGAAGAGTACACGTAAAAGTACATCACAAAAACAGTAGGTGTAAAATACTAACCAGAACAAATACTGTACTAAAGCATGTCCAATTAACATAGAATAATTCAGAAAAGTTTCTCTTACTGTCCTTTACGTTCTTCAATAACAAACACCTATGCTCTTCAGCACAGCTCTTCTAGACGTTTGCAACAAGTCTCGACATTGAAACATCCAGTGAAGGTTTACAATCAGACCTACCGATTTCCCTTTTACTGATTTCATTATACTCAAACAATGATTAGAGCACACCTAATTCGAAATATAAATTCAATCACATCAATGTTATTTATCACGATTTCTTACAAATTAGGTCATCAGTGCTATAGTAATGTCAACTGTCGGATCAGAACATCGCGCATTCTCAATCAGAGGTGGATATCACAGTTAAGCTTTATCTTAACATTCTATGTTTTAGAACACTGATTTGAGAAGCGCTGAGTAATGTAGAATCATATCGTATAATTCACAGTCTGACTTACCACCACAACCAAGAGCACACATCGATACAACGATTGCAATACCGAGAATAAAAATAGGTCGATGGAATGCTGTATAAGTTGCAGCTCCAAACGTTGTGAATGGTTCGACCTTTCCACTTAGTAGTCCATACAATCCGTAGACAGTAGATACACAGAATATGGATGACAGGCATACACCAATCACACCAATCAAAACCTTCGTTTTTGTATTCACATTCTAAAAATAGAATGAAAGGTAGTTCATAAAGGTAATATAATGGATATTTATTTCAGTCAATGAATATTTAAGTGAACTGAGGAACAATTTGAAAGATAAGTATTTAGATATTACTATTTGCAATTACGTCTATGTTTATGTAGAGGGATATCGGTTCTTCAGCCACTCGTTCATTCTTTCGAAATAGAACGTGGCACATGTTTACATTGGATGGGGTTACCACTTCTTATTTGCACTGAGGGTTGAAGTTTTCAGTGTATATCTCAGAACATTCGAGGTGGTAACAGCAGTAGCTCCGATGATACAATTCGAAATGAATATAACCATGGGTGGAACGCAATTTCGATAATATTTATAAAATAATTTTGAAACTTGTTCTCAGAAAAGACAAAGAGTGAATGCACCTGTATTCATACTGAACTGTTGATAATCTAACTGACAAGTAGTAAATATGATGAAACTAACGACCACAAACTACAAATCTTAAATATTTTGCTCAGTATTTCGAGTTACAAAATTCAGAGCAATAATTAATCAATTCTGTCCATTCACATATTTTCATCTAAATCAAAATAAAATTATTGTTACCAGTATTATTTTTATTATTATGACTATTTTATAGTCAGTGTCATAATCTAATTATTACGTAACGCCACTATTAGATGAGTATTCTTTCATTGTTGTTAATCATTTTTTGTTTACCGTTGTTTAGCGAGTTAGTTTTCTACGGGATGGGGTCGCTAACCCTATGTCCAACCCTCCTCCTTTATCCGTGCTTGGGGCCGGCAGCAGCCTCAGAGGGAATCCAGGCGTTGTTGTAAATCAAACATATATAAATTTTAGTGTAGAGCCAATTATCAAACCGGTTAATAACTAGACTATATGAGTAAGTCTAGTTTAAGAGAGTGATAACCGTGTGTTTCAAACCAAATAAAATCGCAGTGTAATGAAAACAGTCTTCCATTCATGAATAATTTACATAAACGAATAAAAACGAAAAATCTAGAAATTAAAACATTGACAGAAGTTGAAAATCCAGGGTGGTGTTCATTAATTTTATTCAGTTAAAGAACTTACTTCCAAAATAGTGGGATATTTTTCGAGAAACCAGCCCAATAAAAGACCGATAGCATATGTACTCCAACGTGTATACGGCTTTATGTAAATAGTTGTGAATGATGAACTAGATAAGTTAATTTACAGGAAATATTTATCAGGTCGTTCAAAAACGTTTTCAATAAAACTCAACTGAAGACTTACATGAATATTTAGCTTGACTATATTTAGAGAGGGAAACGTGGATTTTTTGTTGCGTTCATATACCCTAACCAATTCACTCAAAGAAAAGCATTAATGATTATTTTACAGATGACAACATCTACATTTGCAACCGAATGAGCATACAGGATTCGTTCACCAACTTCGAAATAAACAATCATGTTACTTAATTTTCTCAACAGTAGCCCCTTCAGTATTCAATGTAACTACATCACAACCGGTAGCTTATGTCAATTGATTTTAATCTATATTCTTTAGAGCTACCTTGTTTTACAACTTTAAGAACTATCAAATACAAACCTGACATCTTCCACTGATCTACTACTAAAAAACTCCACACATCTACATTACTTTTATAAATCACATACCAGTTGGATTGAATACGATGTAACTAAAATATCAGTTGTTCACCAAATTCACGTATTCTCCAATTGTTTTGAAAATTACTAATCGCAGAAATGCTTTTGTGTTGTAACAGTACGACAGACATCTGATACTGATATCTTTTAACAAAATCAAAACTACTTCTGACTCCCAGTAATGTTCCTTAATGATCTAAGTTGTGAACTGACTCATCACTGAGTGGCAACCAATTTCATGATTGTCTAGTCTCTGCTGCTTATCGAATTCTATTGAGTAGGTTGCAAGTACCGACTAATCGTTGGAGATACGCTTTGATCAAGAGTGATAACTTACATGAAAGTTTCAGATACACGAGAGTCCAACTGATTGATCGAACTACCTAACGTAATACAATGTCTTCTCTACTGCATGTTTCGTCTTTACAACGAAGCATGCATTCACTTGATTTAATCAAGCGATGGCTTAGTAGTTTAGGCGATCGCGATTCCGATACAAAATCCTACGTTCTTGTCCTGCCACACGTACTTTGGTTTGCGCGACCATGAAGTGGTACTAGCTCACACGTCTGAAACGTATCTTATAACCAATTATTTGATGAACTAGTTAATCTATCTGTTTTTATTTTATCAATATGTTCAGGTTCGCCCCAAGTTTCAGAGAATTCAAGAATTGTAACAAATATTTTTCAAATTTTTCTAATACAATAGTTTTCGAATTATTTTTGCAAGTGACTGAAATAAGTCGTACACTCGAATATTCGAGTAAAGTTTCTGCCAAGAACGTGATCAGTGCTCTATTCTGCTGAAATCAATTTATTTTTCACTTACGATCGATAGTCGTAATGCTATCAGTATGTGAAAGTGATTATTTGATATTGTCATCTATTAGTCAGTATAATGAAGCTTACTCAATAAAATCGTACAGATATTTTTGTAGAATAGTGATTTTCAATTTGTACACGTCTACACAACCTTAGTGATGTATGGAAGAATTGAGTAAATAAGTTATAACATTAATTAGCTTACGTTGATAGAAGACCAGGTAAATAATCATTCGAATAAGATATACCAAATGTGGACGCGATACTGGAAATCACAAGTCCAAAACCAAACAGTACACCGATAGATTCATTCCTAAAAATCATCAAAAGTGATTTAGGGAGGTAGAAAATTGATTGATTACTTGACTGGAGAGTCAAATGAAGAATTCAGTAATAAATACTATGCAGTGTTTTGATAAAAACCATGGTCTGTTTATCAAGTTTCAAGCCTTACAGGATCTACTGAAAGTAGTAGAACCTAGTATCGAGAACAAGCGAAATGGATCAAAGAAGCACTAACTTCAACTTCCCGGAAGGTTCTGAGCCGCAAGAAGTACCAACATAATCAATGAATTTCTCACAAAACCCTGGACAGGACTCAAGAAAGGAAGAACGAGAAAGCAGAAATCAAAATCAGTCAGGCAATAACAGAGAAAATCAAGACATAGACCGAATACGCAGGTGGAAACAAACGGATAATGAAGAGCATCAAGACCCAAAAGCAGAAATATGTAAAAGATCTAGCAATGACAAAGCAAAAGACTGCAACAGAAGGAAATTTGAGACAACTGTATGACATAACGAAGAAACTGGCAGGGCATATAGTAAAGCAAAGCGATCAATCAAACACAAAATGAGGGGAGATAATCACTCAGATTCAAGAACGCAGAAACAGATGGGTAGAACACTTTGAATAGGAGTATCTTCAAAGATGCTCCACCTTCCATGCAGAAAGATTTGAGAGGAAGGACCAGTGTCAACAGATTGAAAAGAAGGATACCTCATCAAGTTACCAAACACAGGCGATCTGAGCAAGCGTGAGAACTACAGAGGCAACACACTACTATCGGTAACAGGAAACGTTTTCAACAGAGGGTTCTGAATTGGATGAATGATTCAGTAAACACACAACTTCGAGATCAACAGGACGACTCCGTTACGATCAGTCATGCACAAACCAAACTGTATCAATACGGATCAATGTTGAACATCCAATTGAATGGAACTTATCACTAAACTTTAACTTCCTTAACTATGAGAAAGTACTTGTCAGAGTGAACAGGAGAACCTTATGGAAACTTCCCCAACACTATGGTGAACCTGAGAAAACTGTTAACATCATTCGGAATTCATAAGACGGACTACAGTGCAAAGTCGTGCATGGAGTACAGCTGACAGATGCATTTCATGTGACGACCGGTGTCAGACAAGGTTTCCTACTCTCCTCCCTTTCTTTTCCTTCTGGTGGTTGTCTGGATTATGAAGACCTTCACATCTACAACACGAAGAACACTAATCTAATCATACTTGATGGGGAAGCTCGGGAAGAGGTAGAAGCTTTAAAGTACCTGGACGACATCACTGATAAACAAGTAGGATCTGATGCAGATGTAAAGGCAAGATTAGCAAAACAAGGACCGCATCACTACAAGTAAGAAAATATATGAATCTCAAAAAACTGTCAAACGACATCGAAGTCTGAATCTTCAATACGAATATCACGATAGCTCAATTTTTCGGAGCAGAAACTTCGACAACTACTACAATTATCATCAAAACAGTACAATTATTTATAAACAATTGTCTACGTAAGATACTCAGTGTCCGTTAGCCGGATATCATCAGCAACAAGCTACTCTAAAAAGGAATAAATCAGGCTTCAGATGAAGACGAAATTACTAAAAGATGAGGATGTGGATAAAACACAAATTTCGGAAATCATCAAACTTCACCACGAGACTAGCGCTAACTTAGAATTCTGAAGGCAAAAGGAAAAGAGGAAGACCAAAGCATACACTGTGTGGACAATGAGAAGCAGATATCGAGAGAATAAAAGCAACTGGAAACAACTGGGATACATTACCCACGATAGAATTCGGTGGAGAATCAAGTTGGGCAACCTATGATACTTCAAAAGGGGTAACAGGCTTCACAACAACAACAACAACAACAACAATTCATTTCTCCACAGTGGTATCTGATTTAACTCACTACTGAGTTTTGGCCATATTTGTCGACAGGAACATAGTAAAAATGAATATTTACTCTCAGGGAATTCGGTGTTTCAACCGAAAATAACTCGCCTTTTATTAAAATATATTCAATTCAAATCAATGTCAATAAATATTAAGTAACATCTTCCTTCATACAAGTTCACTCATCATAATTTACACAACAATATCAGAGTTATTCAATTAAACTGTCACAGCTTTCTTACCATGCTACTAAACATAAGAAGATTGGAGATAACACAATTGAAAATTGAATTTCATTTGACAAATACCATGACCATCCCATGCACTGAAAAATGAATAATTTTCACGAAAATAAGTCACGAGGTAAGCATGTAAGCGTGAAAGATATCGAATATAGCATTCAGGTTTTCAATGGTGGTCTGGCTTAAACCAACTCATCAATTCGACTATTAAAATACTTTAACTTGTGAATTTAATGTCTAGGAAGAAATGTCTTTTTCATATTTTCAACCATTATTTGAATAACTATGTACAGAATTAGTGCATTGTAACACTAAACAACAAACAATCAACTGGCATCATTACCAAAAGTTAACTTGACCGTTTCAAATACACTGAACATTCTGTGGATTCCCAATAAAATGTACTATGTTTATAACATCACGATGAATGCGAACACCAAATATTCTGATGTTTTGTGACTCAGTGTAAGTCACTTCTCCTCACAATAAATAACTAAACGAAGTGCTTCAATCTCCACTATTCCTCCATACTACGTTAAATTAACCCGATTAGTTTGAAAAGTAAAACAGAATACATTGCTAATAATTTCGGCCAAACATAGATCTATAGAATAATAAGAGAGAGGGCTTCATACACTCATTCGTGATGTCAAATATCAAGAGAAGGTCGCGTTTTGATCAATGGGTTAGAGAAGGGTGGTAGGGTGGAAATAATTAAACAGTCAGAAATATAGGTGATAATTGTCCACTAAATAGATATAAAGAGAAAATGAATAGGAAGAAAAAAGCCCTTACTATCCATCTGACTTGAACTATCTATCCGAGTTACAATGTCTAAATTCATGTACATCTTACTTAATTATCACACGAATTCAACTTTATCCTTTCATATTACGAATGTCACATTCTAAACAAACATCAACACGAAAAATGCACTAACATGTGGAGTCATAGAAATCATCTTGACCGGATCGACATTACGTTGACTTGGTCAGACATGTTTTTGGTTGATTGATTGTAATGAATAGTTTTGCCTAATTCTCTTTTACTATGTAAACTCCTCGGGTTAATTTAACGTAGTATAGGGGAATAGTGGAGATTGAAGCACTTTGTTTAGTTATTTATTGTGAGGAGAAGTGACTTACACTGAGTCACAAAACATCAGAATATTTGGTGTTTGCATTCATTGGGATTATTATACTTTATTACAAATATTAGATATCAGAAGGGGTTTGTGGAGCTTTTAGAAATTTCACTGACTGAAATCATGAGTCAGTTGAAGCTAGACCACCATGGATAACGTGGAATCACTGAACGGCCGTTTCGTGCTAGTATGGGGCTCCCCAGCAGTGCGCATTCACGATCCCGCACCGCGCGAGATTCGAACTCAGCATCTATCAGTCTCGCGCCAAGCGCTTAACCAACTAGACCACTGAGCCAGTATCCAATGGTGTTTATGTCTAACCTCAACCAATCCACGAAGTTGTGCCACTGCTGAGGAGTCCCATACTAGCACGAAACGGCCGTCCAGTGCTTCCAAGTTTTCCATAGTGGTCTAGCTTCAATTGACTCATGATTTCAGTCTGTGAAATATTAGATAGTCGATATCCATTTGAAGTACCATCTTCTTCAGTTCCTGTGAAGATTCATTTTCTAAAATTTAGCAGTTCCGTGACCCTTTGATTATATATCATAACCAATTTTCATATTATAATCAGACCTATTCAATAATATCATAAGCTTGGATTCACTAAATTTTGTAGTTGTGTTTCGAACCAGTCACTGATAATCGTTTTCACTTCATCCAGTCATGGAAATACATAACGTTTATTATGAAACTTTTTCATTGATTCCCAGTGAAGTTCATAGTGTCGAAGAAGATGATATCTGTAGGAATGATAAAGCACTAAAATCAAACAGATTCATGCATCTTATTTGCAAGAAGAGTGAATAATGCACTTACGATCTACGGAGATTTCAGACACTCGGAGAATTAATTTCAATGTTGATTTCATTGAACATTCACCACCTACAAGGTCGCTTCATAATACGGGTTTGCTTATTTAAGAAACATCATTTAGTTTCAGTTCTCAGAGTATTTTTTCTCTACACGACAAATTCCACATATCATTCAGAGTGAATATTGCGGACAAACACTGTAGAAACATCATTCAACTATTTTCGTTTTTGCCGTCTCCTCGTTTGTTATAATTTTCCACTCTATGTATGAAGAATAAACTAAATGTAAGCGAATTATTTCTACCCAGCTTTGATTTGCAGAATATCAGGTGAGATTACCAAAACAGGTTTATGATGATGATTGGTGTAGCAGAACTGAAAGTAATGAAGTACGATAAATTTGTCGTATTCTTCACTTAATATCCTCCTTGATTTAGTTCTGTTTAATGTTCATCTATAATGAACTTTGAAAGAATCATGTTACAATGATAAATGAAACAGAGGCTTCATAGAACAGCTTGTCAGTCACTTACTATTTCATCCGCATAGATAAAATTATTCAAATATGTTATCCACCAATGATCACGACAAAATTTTATATCCATCAAATTGGGAGTTTGAGGATACATTGGACCGACATAAGCATGATTAAATAATCCAGTATACAGTATCAAGACTAAAAGATAAGCTGGAGTTAAACTGAAATTTGAAAGAAAACGCGACATTTTATACAAAAACAATCATCTTGAAGATTGTTCACAGACAATAATCTCTAAGTTTTTTCTGTAGTTCCTAATTTAAGTGAAAAAACATGTTTTTGGATTGAAAGATGGACAATTTTGTGAATACATAAGTTCGATCATGAGATTAAAATTTCTTATGAGATGATGTGCACAGTCAAATAACAGTACAATACGAAGATCTTGAAATGTTTCCTAGTTGATCAAAGAGATGAGATCAGTGACTTCAATAAGTGATATGCCAACTTATACGACATCTGAAATAATAACCTGAAAACTACCTATGTAAACTGACATGAAACACACGAAATCAGATATTCTTTCTCAGTGTTTGCAAGATACTAACTAATATTTGTTTTTATACTTGTAGTCTCTATTCCACGGTTTACCTAATATCTTAAAACTAATTAACATCTAATCTATAGTACGCTGATTTTCATCACGAATTAGCATCGGCTACATTCTATATAAAGTTGTGTTCGAGAGACATGAAATACTAGAGAAGCATGGTGGAGAAGATTTGTAGCTCAAGTGGATGAATGTGATGGAGTTTGGTTCACTGAGCTGGATTGTTTAGTCGTGGAGCTTTCAACATAAATTTACAATATTTATGTGTATAACTGTAAAGAATAAATTCCAAATTAAGTCCTTCTCACCTATCAATATTGCTTAACTTTATATTACTTTAATGTAACTTTATTCACTTGGGATATTTAAATTTACTCTTGGTTGGTGGAACTTATACAACTGGATGTAAATAAAACATACATCATATATTCATTAACGCCTAAATTTGACTATCAACGTTCTGAAGCAATACTTTCATCCTGAGCATAAATATTAGCTTATGAAGAAATAATCTTCAGGTTTATCAGTATATTTTACAAACAAATTATTGGGTAAACTTTTTCAAGGAAACTTCATTTGTCAGATCTAAGTATGGAATTATTTTTCAAGTTCTATCATAACATATTCATTTACCCAAAATCTAAATAAGTCACAGCAACTATACACACTACATCATTCAATCAAATGTACGTCGAACATTACTATTGTTACTATTAATCTTATTATTACCATTAGTATTATCGCTAATAATAGTTTGTCACACTAAACGTTGTTCAAGTTATTAATATTATCTGAAGATAAACTACTTAATGTTAATAAGTAACTTAGCGCTGTAAGTAAAGAAAGTGATTTTTAATATTAGATATTTAATCGAAAACAACTAATGACCAGGCAGACTAAGTAATTTGATCAACAGTATATTATTTTCAGTATACATTCAAATCTGAGATTTATTGTAGCTTGCAGACACATTACTCTATGCAACACCGCTACTTGCTCATATATCAATGAAAACTTGAGACAACATCAGGACTAAAACATGATGTACAATATTTCAAGAGACACGATATAATATGAGTCATCAAGTTGATAATGAGATACAACATGACATCAGTTGGAGTAAAGGTAAATTCCAGAGGTGGTCGTCTAAAACATTCAGTGACGTCTACTGTGATTTTATGAACAAAACAGAAGTCATTGATCAAAGATAAAACAAAGTTAATTTTTTATATAAATCCGCCTGGAGCCTCTCTGGATCTACTGCCGGTCCCAAGCACGGATAAAGGAGGAGAGTTAGGCATGGAGTCAGCGACCACATCCAGTAGAAAACTAACTCGCTAAAAAATGCTTACCAGAAAAAAATATTCAAACCACTTACACTCTGCTCTAGGAGTCAGAAGGTCTTCATTTAGAAGAGTTATGACGCCTCATGGTGAAAGCCGAGCTCCTTTGGAAGCCACGAGGCTGATGCTCCTTCTGACAACCAGAGCAACCATTTATTCAGGGACATAGAATGATCGTACAATGTAGGAGACCGGGAGAGTCTTCCAAATTGCTGCAGAATTTTTGTATATACGTATGAGAACGCAACACAAACCGAGCAAAAGAGTAAACCTTCACTGCACGAATTGAGTCGCTGAAATGAAGTTCTTGAGAAGCAGCAACTCCAGTCCTCAGTTGAGTGAAAAGTTGACTTTCAACCTCAACAACGCATCAAACTGAAACCCGTTGACTACAAGTAACTGCAAAACCTACCAATAATCCCAGATAAATCGCAAACGCATGACACAAACACCCTAACTGTTCACCTGAATTTTCACCCTTCATAATTCGTTATTGCTAATGAGTGCCACAATTTCAAATGATGGATTGAACTGTGACAGTTATTGCTTCTCAATCATTCATATCAAGTTTGGTTAGCTAAAACTAGAAGTCCGAAAACTGTCAGTCATTCACCATTCTCTCCTGTGTCCCTGGTCCGAACCGATTTGTCTCAAAATATATCCATCACTCTTTGGATTCTGACTGATCAGTTCGGAAATTGGAAGAATTCGCAGTTCTACTCTGAATCCTGTCTGCTTGCCATTTGCTTCAGAAAACTACATATTGAGAACAGAGACGTGATCTTATTTCAATCTATGGTTACATGTTCCTGTCACGGATATGAATAACTAAAGCCATATACAAATATACATACAAATGCAGATAAAGGATTATCTCGTAGACATTCATTTCAAATCAAGAGCTTCTCCTCTCAAATTACAATTGAGATTTCATTCTAGGCACAGATATCAATGACCAAGATCGCATTACGTCTCTGTGGTTCCAAGTGTGATTGATGTTTTTAGACTTCCATGAAATACAAATTATTGAAGTTAACCACAATACCTACATTATTCAATGTCACACAAAATACAATCAGCTACATGTACAGCTTATTATTATCCAACTCCAATCCACCCACACATGTTACATTTGGTGCTTAAACTAATCTTCTCTAAGTAGGATAACTTTTCAATACACCCATGATCAATAACCACACTCAGCGGATTAAAATACGTTGTCCATAGGATTAATTAGCTTTAAGGTTAATTGTGCAAAACGTTTTTCAATGCACAAGTGATGGAATGATTTATTTCACCTCAAAACATCTACGTGAACAAATCATTAATGTAGTTAACTATAATCCATTTTAATTATCAATACCATTTTATAAACCTATAATATCAAACAGTAACAAATAGACTGTCCAGTCAAGCTAAAATAGAACACTTTCGAAACAATTTTGGGAACTTTCGTTGAGAAACGTCCACATAAAACAGAGTAGCATCATAGGAAATCATGAATTACACATCTTGTCTACTGAACGCAAACATTTGTTCATTAGTATTCTCACCTCCCACAGGGTTCATCCACACCAACTTGCAAAATTATTTTTTTATAATTATGAAGAATATGAGTGAAATACACTTCGATCTTTAGGTTTTCATGCAACACTTTCCATAATACTTTAGGCTATATGTGAAAAGATGATAAGCACTCTAAAGAATACATGTGCATGAAATGACACGGAACATTTGTAGAGTGTAGACAATCATAAATGAAACTTGCCAAAACTTCATTGCAAAACTACAGTGAGTGTTGGGCAATTTATAAATAAACAAAACGTTAGTTTGCTCAATACAACACATTCATTTCTCAATAACATCTTACCCATTTAGTTTTATTGTTCTGGGAAAGGTTCTTTAAAATTCATCAAACTCATTATTCCTAACAAAAATTTAGTTAAAACGTGATAATCTATGGTCGTCCTCTTTATATTTGCAACCAATCTATGCATTCAAATGTTGATCACTTATGGGCTGATTAACAGGTTTAACTGGATTAAAACAAATGGATCTACGCATAAGTTACGTACAAATCACATGACATATTGGTTTCGAACAATAGTGGTTTGCGTGAACATATTTTACTAACAGTTCGTGATTCATAAATGCACTCTCAGTCTAGTTCACATAAAATCAAGTCAACAACTTCCATTCTTTATACAGAATTAATGAAAAGCAAAATCACTGATGCTTATCATTTCAGTGAACTACACTGAACGTCTGTAGAAATAGTCGATTGGTGAGTGACCGTCAATTCGGATTACACTTACCGTAAAATGCGATGAAATACGAAACTCCACCAAAATTTTATCCAATGTTTCCAACTGGGAATTCGTCGAAGTTTTGGAATGGTGAGATAAGTAGATAATAAACCTCTAAATATAAGGTAAAATATATCGACATAGGACTGTTATGCACAGGAACAAATCGTAAACAAGACTAAAATTGTTTGTTTTAAACTACGATAAGATAAAAGCAATTTTAAAATATCGAAATTATTCTCAAGTAGACAACGTTGGATGTGAGATGTAACAATGTCCACACTCTTAATTCAAGAAGTTTATAAATGAACACTGTGACATTGGTGTTAATAACAGTTTCACTTCTAATTTACATATTTCATAAAATATGTATCCTGAAAACACGAAAATGAACAATTCACTGTATACATTACGAGATATAGCGCCAGCGTATTGTAATGATATAATTTATATGAATTCTTTTAGTGGGCGTATAAAACAAACTTAGATTGTGTGAATAATTTTTAGAAACAACATAACTACTACTGCCGCGACTAAATTCATTCAAATAACATAGGTAGAACATTAAATAAGTATAAACAACAACTTCCATGAACATATATTTTGTACAAAATATTGATCAATTCATTAAAAATAACTAAATAATTACAAGTACCCCAAATTAAGTCAACAGAAAATTTATACTAAAATTAGCATTCAGGTTTTCATTACATTTCTAAACTAGTAAATTTTAATCACATTCATGTAGTAACTAATTATTTAGGTATTAAAATACTTCACATTTATGATAAAAGTGGCATATTAAAAAACATCACGTTTATGATTGCTATAGTGTCATTTCTAGGTCATCTTCGATATTTATGCAATTCATTTGAAACGACTAATTGTCATACAGTTTAATTGGTTTACTCCATAAGATTTTGCCATTTGGTAAATAAAGAAGGGGTTTGTGGGGATTTTTAGAAATTTCCACAGATTGAAATCATGAGTCAGTTGAAGCTAGACCACCATTGAAAACCTGGAAGCACTGGACGGCCCTTTCGTCCTAGTATGGGACTCCTCAGCAGTGCGCATCCACGATCCCGCACCACGCGGGGCTCGAACCCAGGACCTACTGGCTTCGCGCGCGAGCACTTAACCATTAGACCACTGAGCCGGCATAAGAAACCTATCAGTCAAGAATAATTTCATGTTATCACTTGATGTATCATCTTTATTCACTAACATTCCACTACTAGAAACAGTTGATTTTATTTGCAATGAACTAACAGAGACACGCATAGAAACCCCGATTCCAGCGTCCGCGATAAAACAGTTAATTCTTAGATGCACAATGAATGTACAATTCAGATTTGACAACGAATACTATAGACAGCTAGATGGAGTTGCCATGGGATCACCATTGGGCCCTCTACTGGCTGAAATCTTCCTTGCAAAACTGGAAAACGGACCACTTAAAAGCATAATTAGCCATTCACCAACTTATTATCGCTACATAGACGACACCTTCATAGTACTAGAAAAAGAAAATGATAAGGACAATTTACTTGATACATTTATTAACGTTCATCCATCAATTAATTTTACATCAGAAGATGAACAGAACGACAGCATATCATTTCTAGATGTCCAACTAAAAAGAAGAGCAGACGGAACTTTAAAAAGAGGGGTACACAGAAAGTCTGCAGCAGGACAATACACTCATTTCCATAGTGCAGTTCCAATCAGATACAAAAGGAACTTGATAAAGATCTTGACACATCGGGCTAGAATGATTTGCTCTGAAGACACCATCGAAGAATAATTGAATAATATTCGGAACCTACTTAGCATGAATGGGTATCCTATGAAATTCATCGGCAAACATATGATGGAGAAGAAAACAAGGACAAAGATACCCACCGTCCATAAGAAGGTACTATTCATAAAACTACAATTCATAAATGACACCATTGAAGAAATCTTGACTCAGAAACTAAGAAGAGCCGTACAAAAAACATTTAATGCTGCCAGATTAAATGCAATCTTCTACAACTATCCCAAGATAAGAACAGCCAACAAAGACAGACTGCCTGAATTCGCCAAATCTATGTGTATCTATCGTTTCAACTGCTCCTGTGGAGCCAGTTATATTGGGCGTACAATTCGGCAAGTCCGTCATCGCATTACTGAACATCATCCGTCGTGGTTAAACAAAGGACAGGTAAAAGTGATTAAAAGTTCTATTCTCTCTCACTTGGTTGACACAGGTCATCAAGTCGAATTGAATAAAGCTTTTAAGGTTATCTACAATATCCCATCTAATTTGCCACATGGTTTACGAGTGCGCCTCCTGCACATTGCGGAAGCCATCGCAATCCATGTTCACAAACCTGACCTTTGCATTCAAAAGAGATTCGTACAACCACTTTCCCTGCCCTGGCCATCAGTTTAAGATTTCCTTCAAAAGAACTATTTTTCATACTTCTTCCACTTGTTTTTTTTAACTTTTGTAATTTTATTTCTGTTGCTTTTGAACTTAATAACTTCTCAACATTCATCTCTTGATTCTTACGTAACTACCAACCTATTGACCATCCGTTAAAATTCTGTTCCTTACATTACGCAACGTAGCAACTTCTTGATCACTTTGAATATTAATAATCCTCTTTCTTCCAATTAATCAATGTTAATTTAAATGTCATTATGTAATTATTACGTAACGTATCTACTCGATGAGTATTATATTATTATTGTAAAACATATATATATATATTAGTGTAGAGCCATGATGAAAAACTAGTTGAAAAGAAATTTCTTCGCTCAATTCGTTCCTTCTATAAGATTTGTTGTTCTATTATCAGGAAAATTAGTTGTTTTTTTTCAAATTTCACTTAGATCATTGAAGAAGTATAAATCAAATTTTATCCTTAATGGTGTGTAAAGCTACATTTTACTTCGACAGATATATAGCAATTTTGATCGTCAGTAAAATGAATACAACACTTCAACTCAATCATCAATTACATGAAGATAAGTACTTGGAATTGTAATAAAAAAACACCTTTCATCAGTTGTGTACAGGTTGCAACTTTTCAATAATGAGATCAAACTTTATCATCTTTAACTCAAATTTTATATCCCGATGAGAATGATTCATGGTGACTGTTGGAACCTATTTCTGGACTAATACTATATATATATATATTACATAATTGGTAAATAACTAAACTATTCATATTTGCGTTCCTCTTATTACATTTTTTATTTTGACCTATGAACTATTATTACAAGATTTACCACTCTTGAGTTATACCCAGTCTATCAATTAATATCACCCACATTCACAGCCAGATTTGGCTAAATCTTGTACAAATGTTATTTTCTAATTTATGGTACGATGTGGTCTGTTTCGTTTGTATATAAACCCAGTATGTTTGAAATACATGATTCTGGACTCATGTTCTGGACTCAACAGGCAGTGCTAGATGGGAAGAAGGAGCGGTAAAGCCACTAGACGGCTCGTACGGGTTTATGAGTCATTGATCCGGTCAATAATCACTGTTCTCTAATTAATAGTATCATTTCGTCATACATTGGTAGGGGGGCACAAACCCACAAGTTATAACACCAAATACACAAAGCTTCACTAACAACTGACATTTAAAAAGATAATTCATACCCTAAACAATGTTGCCTGTAGTACCATCTAGTCCACTCCTATATCCTCAAGATTTAACTACTTCCAACCTTATGGTGAATCTACTACCTATTGATCTGTGTTAAAAATCAAGAATGAATATCTCTTATTATATGTAGTTATAAGTGTGCAGATTGGTGACTCACTTTGCTAACATAACTATTAATTACCCTCATTGATTTCGGTTTAATCGAACAATACTCAGCAGTAACGTTCACGATAACAATGTGAATATTTGCGTGAAAAAATTAAATATGATTACTATTAAAACGAAATGACGTTTCTGTCAAAGATGAGCAAATAAACTAATTAAGTGGACGTACGACATAAAAAAGAATGTATCCACAGACAAAGTTGAACCAATTATTGCTTGATAGGTCCATTTTGGTTGATGAATTTGTGAGTACAGTAACATGTTATCTGCAAAAGATTATTCAATAAACTTAAATTGAATAAAATAAAATCAAGTTATGACAAGATGAATGCATACAAATATCACATTTCTATAAAACCAAATAGTCCAAAAAAGACTGTCTTTCGACACCAATATACAAACTTTCAAGTTCCAATCCTAAGTATATATACTGATTTCAAAATATGAACTAACAAATTCCAAACATTTACATTAGAAAATAAACATTCGTTTTACGAAATACATGTAGCAGATGAATTGAAGCTGTATTTTCTGATGTTTCTGTATTTAAATACGACTGTACAATATGTAAAGTGACATTCTTGGAGAGAAACATCTTTATTCGGAAAATTCGTAATTCGTTTTCAAATTGTTATCATTTTTATTTATCTGAAAAATAAAATCTACCCATGCAAATAATTTTAATCCGTTTGTGAAGAGTCATATTTGACAAACTACACATTCGTCGAATAAAAAAGTCGAAAGATATTTGTAGAATTTTCATTCATACTAATAAAAAAATTTAGCTCACTTGCGACAAACATGCTAAACAATATACAATGTCCATAAATTATCCAATTCATGGTCAGAAATCGAATGCCATCTAAGCACAGTAAAGGATGATCACAAAGGTGACCTGATTTATTCAGAACCTGACTTGGTTTGAATTGCCATAGACGGGATGTGTTAAACGGTATAGAGTAAGTTGCAACGAATTTGACAAACGGAGTTGTATTGGACAACACATCTGATGATTACGAAACAAAGAATAAACATAACACATAATCAGGCAGTTGGAGGGAGCAATTACATGGAAAATTGAGGATCAACTAGCAAACTTTCAAAATTAAAAATAGGTTCACTATCTTAAAAACCATTGTCCCGATTCTTTTTACATTCTTTAAGAAGTAATCATCGCTAAAATGCTGTTTGCTAGTCATTATTTCAGAGATTTTCTCCATGTTTTCTATCATAAGGAACTAGGCTAATGATACACGCGAACTGTCAAAACCTAAGTCCAAGCGGTGTGAGCTTCTACATAGTAGAAGTAGTAACAATATTAGTATCAACAGTAGCAAAACAGACCCCAATTGCCCTGGTATGGCCGAGAGTGGGGACCGCCCTCCCTCTCAAAATGCTCTCACACGGCCACACGTATACAGCCTCTTCCAGGGAAGTCATACTCATTGCCTTCTCGTGGCAAGGGTGTTGTTTACGAAAATGAGAGGACGAAAAGGGAATGTCCGGCGCTTTAACCGGATTCCAAACAAATGGTGCACATGGGCTCCAGTATCCTGCGGGAACAAATGGCGTATGAACCAATCGTTGGTCACCGGCTACCATGGGACTGCATCTCCTCACGATGCTCCACTGCCTTGTGGGTTAGAGCTTTAGGTCAAAGGCTCGGGGTGTGGCCCCCTGAGAAAACCACTTACCCGGGCACCCTGGCAGTAACACAGCCCACATACAAATAAAATGAAAATGACGATATTTACTGGAAATTCTATTCACGCTTCGATTAACAGTCAAACAATTCACATTATTATTATTATTATTTACCATGTCACTTATTCACTCTCCTTTATTTCCACTCTGTGTATCCTTATTTCTCGACTTATACAGCAGCTCGCCTATGGTGGGAATTCGACTCTATCTAAACGTTCTCGAGTCACAACCACCAAATACGAATACTGAAGCAGTTTATCTGAAACCACGTGCACCATTCAAACTGGTTGCCTTCAACGTTCGCACACTTATGCAGTTCGGACAACAGATAGGGCTGGCTATGTCTTTGGAAAGTCTTAATATCGATGTCTGCTGTATATCCGAGACCCGTACTCAAGACTCTGGTGAAGTACTACGAATTCGCTCTCCATCTGTCGCTTCGAAAAGCTTGTTTTATGTGCGCTTATCCGGGGACCCTGTGGCATCTTCGTCTGGTCTTTCTGGCGTTGGTGTTGCACTAAGCGCTAGAGCTGAGGCAGCACTAGTCGATTGGATACCCATTAACAGTCGGTTATGTGCTGTTAGATTAGAAAGTTCCATCAAAGTGAGAAGAAATCGGCGTGAGAAACGATGTCTTTTCGTCATCTCCGCCTATGCTCCGACAGATTGCAGCCCGGATGCAATCAAGGATGAATTCTACAACCAGTTAACTTTTCCTCTCCAGAAAGTGCGTTCGACAGATATTGTAGTACTAGCCGGAGACTTGAATCCTCAGGTCGGGCGTCTAGGCACAGAAGGGAGTCTTTTAGGTGGCCGATGGGGTCTCGTTGGTCGCAGGTCAGATAACGGGGACCGTCTGCTGCAACTAAGCACAGACAACTACCTGTTTCTGGCTAGCACTAACTTTTGACAGAGTCATCGTCGATGTTCTACCTGGCGTCCTCCTCCCTGCATCTCCCTATCTTTAAAAAGGGTTCATGTCGTTCCCGCAACAACTATTGGGGGATAAGTCTACTGTTCTCTGGGATTGTCTATTGAAGAAGGGTGTGCCTAAGAAGTTTATTAACATCCTGAAAGCCCTATATACAAACACCTCAGGCAGAGTGAGGGCATACAACCATCTTTCTCCATTGTTCCATTCGAGGAGTGGGGTTAGGCAGGGTTACCCAATCTCACCATTCCTCTCCAACTTTGCCATCGATGACATTCTGAAACAGCTCTGATGGATGTAAGTAATGGTGGTGTGGATCTGTTGCCTGGAGAAAGACTTCTCGACCTTGAGTATGCGGATGATATTTTCTTACTGTGCGATAATGCCCAAGCCATGCAGTCCGCACTTAATCAGTTGACAATCAGTGTCCGTAGGTATGGTATGTGTTTTGCACCTTCGAAGTGCAAAGTACTTCTACAAGACTGGCAGGATTCCAATCCTGTACTCACCCTGGATGGTGAGCAGATAGAAGTAGTCGAGAAGTCCGTGTATCTAGGTAGCTGCATAAGTGCTGGTGGGGGTGTGAGTGATGAGATCAATACACGTAAAGTGAAAGCCAGACCGGCTTATGCCAATCTGGCCCATCTTTGGCACCTTAGTGATGTCAATCTGGGTGTAAAGGGTGGATCTACAACGCGTCGGTGAGAGCAGTTTTGCTCTATGCTTGTAAAACCCGGCCTCTCCGAGTTGAAGATGTTACACGACTCTCTGTGTTTTATCATCGTTATCTTTGAAGGATTGCTGACATCCAGTGGCAACACCATGTCAGTAATGCAGAGGTTCGGTATCGTGTGTTCGGGCACAGAGATAATAATGCAATCGATGTCAACATCTTCAAACACCAACCTCGGTGGCTTGGACATGTTCTACGAATGTCGTCCCAGAGAATTCCACGTCCTGCATTATTTGCCGGCTCTGGGACTGGTTGGAAGAAGCGGAGAGGTGGTCAGTGCATGACATGGTGTCGTGATATGAAAGAAAGCTGCAAAGGACTGGCTTCTGTTGATCCTTCACGACTCCCTGGTTGGGGTCCGAAAGATGGTGCTACACAGTGGCTAGAGACGTTATCAGATTTCAGAATTCAGTGGCGATCCTGCTGTAACCTTCTTTTACTTTCTTTATAAAAGTGGTTGTATCTTCCTTAACTGGAAGATTTCTTCAGTTTGTGCCTTTCAGTTTCCCCCTTTATTATTATTACTACTATTATTATTACACTACCATACACTAATCTGGTTGTTATTGTTCTTCTTTGTTTTACGCTCCCTCCATTCCTTTTTTCTCTTCCCACTCTCATTGTTTTACGTGGCGCATATATATTTGGTGCCCCCATGTACCAATATTTATGTAATTTCATAGGTTGAAATCATGAGTCGATTGAAGCTGGATCGTGGATGCGCACTGCTGAGGAGTCCCATACTAGGACGAAACGGCTGTCCAGTGCTTCCAGGTTTTCCATGATGGTCTAGCTTCAATCGACTCATGATTTCAACCTATGAAATTTCTAAAAACTCTCCACAAAACTAATTCTGACAATATTTATGTGTTCAAATATATATATATATATATATATATATATATATATATATATGATGAGTGGATCTCATCTAATTGATAAAACAGAATTGGAAGACAAACGGTTCACTCAAAAACTGGAAACATTGCAGTTAACCCTGAGAGTACACAAAAACCAACGAAATAGGAAACATGTTCGGCTACACACGGTGATATAAAACAACTCAGTCGTTAAATCATTGTATTTTGTTAGAACGTTTAATATTATCGTTTGCTGAAAACTACTGAATGAAAAACTTACAGCACGCAGCGTTAGTCTTTCAATCGAAGTAGCATTACAAGTGGACAAAAATGTCTTACAACCCAACATATAGCTGAAATTTTACAAGAATCACGCTACTAAACTCCAACCTCAACAAATTTTCATCGGAGATATTTTCCTGGGGTCGCCAATAGATTCAACATCTTGTTTCATTGTGTTTGACGAAAATTACCAAGCCATTGGCGGAGGCTTTTGCTTGTGCAAGACCTTTCTTAAGGGACGCGACTTCAGGTACGTAAAGATTCAAATATCTCCAGAAAAATACCTGCATCACTCAGCCACAAACGTTAAAATCAGTCGTTCACATTATGAGAAGTCTGTCATCCCATTTACTAGTGACTCAGATATTGATAAATCATGTCATCTATTACATTTACTTCGATGGTTGAATGCCAATTAGCTTTACACACATAAAACACACTAGAAGACACATCCTGTCATCTACCATCATCATATAAATGAACGACTGGAAATCTGATTGTTTACTAAAACTCTTTACCATGATAAATTCGTGATACATAAGACCTTTAACAATCTCAAATAGCTGATCAAAAAACGCAATTATAAATTCATAAGTGACAATGTGTAAGTTTACTTACCGGATCTGTATTCAAAATATGATAACTTAACTGATTCCGACTGGTCACACGGAGTTTGTTCAACTAAATTTTCCTCCTCACTGGTAGTAAATGTATCCTTAGGCAAACTGACTCTTATCCTGTTGTACAGAAATTCATAAAAGCGATAATTCCAATTGCACCATAGAACTACATCCACCATTGTTCCACTTATCAGAAGAATGATCATAAGAACTAACAAAGACCTAAGGGTGACACAAAAACATTGTATTTCTTAGAAGCAGTAAGTACAAGTCGTACGACATGCTGCCTAATCAAAACTCCAATTAAACTGAAGTAGACATGGATTAATTACAGAAGCTCTGTAAAACAGCTGTGAACTCTGAGTACTTTCTAATACTCTTAATCAACGGAATATCAACACAGATTTCGGCTTTCATAAGTCAGTTAAACAGTTCCAACATTATATATATATAGCAACTGCTTACTTACACAGCTAAATAAAATCCCCTATAAGGGTGGCAAACCTGCCGAAGAACTCAAGTGTTTTCTCCTCATAAGTAAAATAACACTTTCATTTTGCATGATATGATATTTCTATATATATCTTGGAACCACTGTTGTTTTATCACATTTATTTTGTAAACGGAAGAGATGTCAGATGAAAACCTAATAATATGATTACCAAAAGTCATTAAAGCCACAAATTAAACACTTCTCACGCCTAATGAAAATCTCCCAAAATAATTAAAAAATATTTGCATCCAGTCCAGTGAATGAAATGATAAGCACTCAAGCAGCCTAAGAGAATATTCTCGTACATAAACTACAAAACAAGGATCCATCATTGGATTCCCAACCTAATTAAAGAAGGGAGTGAATCTGAAATGATAGAGGAAAATCAGGAAAAAGCAGAGCCTATGGCTGACTATTTTGGAGCAGTTTTCACTCAGGAACCTCCTCTAGACAAAGAACCAGACCAAAATAAAGAGTCAACAAACCATCTACTCACCGTGAACTTCGGTCAAGACGATGTGTTTAAGGCTCTTAGCACCTTAAAAATGGAAACGTCAACAGGACCAGATGAACTACACCCCAAAATCTTGAGACATATTGCACAATATATCGCGGCCCCACTGTCTGTGATATTCAATATGTCACTTGACCAAGGTGTGTTACATATGGACTAGAAGGACGCAATCGTCACTCATACATAAAACAGGACCAAGACAACTTCCATTGAACTACAGACCTGTAAGCCTCACCAGTGTTGTAGTTAAACTATTGGAAAGAATAGTTTAACGGACCATAATGACATTTATGGAAACCAATAACTTGCTAAACATAGAACAACATGGTTTTAAGAAGGGTCTATCTTGTACGACAAACCTCCTTATAGCAAGGAAGTTTTTGGACAAAAGCGCTAGACAACGGAAACTCAGTGGACGTTGTCTACATAGAATTCAGTAAGGATTTTGACAAGGTGTCAACTAATAGACTGCTATTGAAGTTGGAAAACCTTTGTATTGCCAAACCTCTTTTAAAATGGATTAAAAATTTCTTAGTAGGTCGTAGACAGAAAGTAAGGATTAATTCCAAGTTCTCCATATGAAGACCAGTACTTAGTGGGGTACCTTAAGGTCCCGTTCTAGGTCCTTTGCTTTTTATAATGTATGTTAATGATCTTCCAAGTATAGTACAGTCTCCAATGTTATTATACGTTGACGATGTAAAGATCTGGCGAGTAATAACTGGAAACACAGACGCATGTGCTCTTCAGGCAGACTTAAACAATATGATTAACTGGTCTAAAGAGTAGCTGATGCCTATCAACGCGGAAAAGTGTGTCTACATGCACTTTGGGGATTCAAAGGTTAATAGGTACAACATAGAGGAAGTGCCATTACCCGTGTTCCGGTCTCATAAGGATCTAGGGGTGACGGTGAGTCATGATCTTGAAACGACGGCCCATTAAAACGACGGTCGCAGCTAGGAGGTTTCGAACCCTCCGGGCTTTAAAACGGACATTCACTAAGTTAGATACTACCATGTTCACCACAGTATACACATCCTTAGTGAGAACTAAGCTTGAGAACTGCATTCAGGTTGCAAGCCCCTGTTTAAAAGATGACTTGGATATCCTAGAAGAAATTGCAGAGGGCGGCTACCCGTGCAATTCCAGAACTTCGGGGTTTACCATACAAACAGCGGCTTGGAAAGCTGGACCTCTTTACTCTGTCCTATCGCATATTAAGGGGAGATCTAATTTTGATGTACAGAATACTGTGAAATGATTTTAGACCTAACTTATTCTCTCTTTTTCTTCCCACTAGATCGGGACATCTAAAAGGACATAGCAGGGGAGTAGAAAAGTCAAGGATGAACAAAATACCCGTGGCATACAAGTTTTCACACCAAGTCATCAATATTTGAAACCTGCTGCCCGAAGCAGTGGTGTCCGCACCTCCAATTGACTCTTTCAAAAGAAGACTGAACACTCACAGAAGCATAATAGAAAAGGAATAACATAGGCCGTAGGCCTTCTGTCCTTACTACACAAATCTGAATCTGGAATGATCGAAATTGTCACACTAAACCAAGACCGATCGACAAACGAAATTCAGTAAAAATAGTTGTTGCGCTCAGCCGGTTGAAATATTAAAAATAGACGGTTTTACAACTCACATTGCTACCCAAAACCAACCGTCTTTAGGTAGTTCTCCAAAATCTGCATGACAGAAGCTTGTGGACTTATCTATGGATAAATTTACCTTGGAAAGCACTATACAATCATGATTAAAAATTAACAAACCCATATCTAGTAGCCAAATCAAGTCATCCTTCGTACAAGAATGAGGAATGCACACTCCATAATTCAGTTCGAATGACTGATATAGAAAATATAACGAGAAAAACATACCAACTGTTGAGGAAGTTCTTCCGTTGTAGGAAGTTTCACATATGCAGAGCAATACTTTCCTTGAACATGCTGGGATAAACCGTAGCTAAAATCTGTGATATTTCGACACAATTCCATGCTTCCCACCCAGTTGATACCACCAACAGAGACACCAGGGACAATCTTACCTGCAGCATCCAACCCTTTGGAAGAAATAAAATCAAACACACATGCCTACATTTCACTGCCTCCTTGTCTGATCGAATGATTCCATAAACAATCGAGGTCACATCGATGACGCATGCAGAGTTGTTATACAATGGATTACCATTTAACCTCTTCTGATCTAAGTACCTAAGCATCTCGTACACTGAAACCCGAGAATATTCAGCTAGAGCATCAAATGGTTTTAGGAGTATTGGATCAAACGGATGAAGGAGAACAAGCATAGAATTATCATAAGAATAGAGAGGTAAACTTTTGGTGGATACATGATTGGGTGAAAGTGATCCTAAGGTAGTGAAACACAAGAAGAACCACCTCATAACGTGAGGAATGTCAAGTTTCATTTTCCAGTTTATATTGTCTCATGTAGTCTTGTATCCAGAACCGAGAACTGGCAGAGTAACGTCGGAAATGAGTAACAGATAATTTTGATCGAATTAGTAGAATGTAAATAAGGTGTAGTTTTTAAGACACTATAACAAATTTCAATATTGAATAGCTGTTGTACGGAAGATGAATCCTTTGTATCCGTTTCTTGGGTCTGAAACCCCATGTCTTTGTCACGGATCTGTGTGAAGCGATTGCTTTTTTGCTTTTGTTACTTGAGGTTTTGATACGTTTCCGTGTTTAGTTAATGTCTAAAGTGAGGTAGTCTAGCAACTCGAATGCACTCGTCCGAGTCAGTGTGTTAACTATTTGTGGGTTTGGGTGTTTTGTAATCCGAATGAATCCATTTGTCTCAATACAGAAAGGTTTGTGAACATCAGCAGCTATCACATTACTAAGCTGGAGATTGGTTACCATATTTATAACATGAAATGATAACTTGGGTGTTACGGAAAGGCGGTTGTTTCAAGTGAAAAAGATATAAGTAAGTTAATACGTTTTGTGTGGAGGCCGGGGTATAGGAACAAAAGAGAAAAGGAAATGATAATAAACGATAAACAAATCAGTCAATGATATGTCTTAATGATAACTTACGATATCTGTGTCATGTACATCTGCTTCAAGAAAGGAATGGTTATTAAGGTTTTGGTGAAGTACTTGTGTTACAGTGACTTGGCGTTCCTGTTATTTTGTATTCCGCTATCGAATCACCTCTTAGTTTCTTCTGACCAACTTGGATAACCTGAAGTGTCGGAGTCTATCATCATGAGATTTGTTGCTGCGTCCTATCATCAACTAAGTTCCTCATCTCTGTGGTAGTTCAAGGAACTTTAAACCTTCTTCGAAGAGGTAGGGCGTGACAGCGTTTCGAACTCGGCATTCGGCTCGAGACCCTATAGCTCGCTTACACTATCATTACTTTGACTATAAACATCCTTTAGCATGGCTGTTTCATAGCCATGGTGAAAGAATGACAGTGAAATCTGTCTTCGCTGGAGAATCCGTCACTCCATCCCTAAATCTCATAAAGTGGGACACAACCCTACTGGATGGCTCTATAAGCGACATGTTACAGCATTTATGAGTGTGAGACTGGTGGAACATGCAGGTAGCGCCACAAAATAAGTTATGAACAGACAACTCGTAAATAAAGGTTGTTCGCTAACAACTGATTAGCTCACAGTGAAACATCCATTCCCAGCAGATGAGTGACCATCAAATAACAAATCAAAATTAACTGGAACGTATATAACAGCTGACAATAAATTTAAAAACTTCTGTCGTATTTCTTCAAATTCGTGTGAATACACATATTTGCGGAAAAGTTATTGCAATGATTTTGATTTCCATGCAAAATTCTATCAACTTTAACTCGTATATTTGAAATGCACAGGAGTAAATGCTCTTCAGACCAAGGATATAGATTAACATCTGAAAGAACAACACATCCAATGTAACGGACGGTTTTTGATACAAATATTCCACAAGCAGGTATTTCAAAATCATTCTTTGTGTTTTTTTTCAAACGCAAATCCAAACAGACTTCCGGGAAAGAAAACTAGGTTGGAATAAAATATTTTAAACTGAATCGATGCGGAATAATTCATAATCCTGAAAACGAGAAGGAAATGACAGTCCTCAAATTTGTTACACGAGGGCAAACTACATGGCCACGAAAGTGCTGGGGTCTAACACTGGTTGACCATCGAAATATAGTAAAGGACATAATTCAAAATTATATCTGAAACAATGTACCTCGGGAAAAGCACACTTATGAAATAATATCTTTAATTAGGAGACACTCAGAACGCTAAGTGCGGGCCAAAAGGAGGACCTGGAAAAAGCGGAAAGTCGTCCTGAAGGATTCTGATCGTAGCTCTTACTTGGAGTTGGTGCAATGCCAAAGTTCATAACGTTAGGGGATATTCTCATACGATGCTAGCAGTTATGATACAAGCTTACCAAAAACGGTTCTATAAATTCATGACTAAACAAGAACAGACCTAATAGTAATGATCATGCCGAGCCAGAATGGCAGGAATGTTTAGCGTCAATTTTGTAGATTTGATGGACCGAAAACCTACAGTACGAAGACGTTCCTTGACTCTAGTACCAGCTGATGACTTAGAGATTATCCGTCTCACTCCCTATTTATTGCTCCAGGAAGTGAAGTCCCTGAACCCAGGAATGTCATCAAGACGCAACAAAATTTTATCTAATTTTGAAACATTGAGCAAAAGACATTATTACACTATCACGTGACCCGTTTAGGCATTCACTCACTCACCGACTGCCAAGAAACAAGGAAACAGGCCACTGTCCCCCCAGTCTTAAGAGAGCGAGATAAGAATGACTCAACATGGACCATTGCTCCTCATCATTACTCCCAATACAATCGATTGCGATAAAAAGAGAGGCCGACGAACAATTTGATAATGAATCGATAAAACAGCGTCCGCAATGAGTCTCAACACATGTTTAGGGAGGGGAGGTCTTGCACATCTGAATGTCCTGAGAAGTTAGACGGCTGTACTTTTTGTGTTTATGTGTTCCTTCTCTATTTATTCATGCCTTTGGATTTAAGAGTTCAGTTTCTACATTCTTTCTATTCATCAGTCTTTTATCTCGGAGAATTGCTTGCATCCAGTTTCATCATTTAAAAATCTCTCATTGATGACTGGACAGTTGGAAAAAGCAACTGTCGACACCCAAGCTGTCAACGCCTTTTGGGAAGTGGCATGCTGTGATGAGTGAGAAGAATAATGCCTCGACGTTCTCACAAGTCTAATGCCTGAAAATGTCTAACGGTTAAGCGAAAATGGTTGCGTGTGATTTTGTCAGCAATGCTGCTCGCGTGAATCACTGTAGACAATATTGTGACTTCCACGAAATGTTTTATAGATTAACCAGTCACATCATGACATCTACAGTTTTAGGACTGGATCTATGATAATAATATTAATGACGTAGTAAACCATAATTCAAGAGATCAAGATGGCCAAGTAATGTCTCATGATATCTCAGGGGTCACTCTGATGAAGGTTTATTGACCAGGTAATAGTACGGACTCGAAAAGCAGTCAAATCTCCTAATAAAAGGGACCTGATACCAAAGAATGAACATAAACTGAAGAGGTTATGAGATTTTGTTTTAAAGACTTGCCGCTCACGGACCATACAAAAAGATCAAAACCGAAAAAGTAACCAGAATTAAGTTTAGATGCCTATGAGAACGACATCAGAACTATGGATTTTTAGATGGAGAGGCTTGTCAGAGAATGATTTCAAAGCCACTTGGGGTGCAGCACGAATTCATTCGAATCTGTCACACAAATGCTTGTAGACTGTTTAACAAGCAATCGGAGCTGGATGCGCAGATTAACTCCACCAGTCTGGAATTAATCACTGTCACGAGAACTTGATTTATGCAGTCTGCAGACAGTAGAGACTTGGTTTCGAAAATTTCGTATTACTGAGAGGGCAGATGAAATCCGTAATCGTGAGGAAGAAGTAACTCTACTCAGTATAAATATTATCCCCTTTGCCATCGTTTATAATACACCACATGAAAGTGAAACTTGCTATTATGTTAATAGCCACACGAAATGCGAAGAACGAGAGTTTCGAAATGGTCTAGTCTATCAGTTCAAACTGTGAGGTGAATGAAGTCTTGCTAAATAGTCTCAATACTTGGTGATCAAGCCGTGGATGTTTAATAATAGGAGACTTTAATGCACCTACGGTAGACTGAAGAAGTCCGAGGGAACTAGTTGACGCAATTTTTACACGTGCCCTATCGCAACATGTAAAACAAGCAACTAGGTACAACCCAGATTCCGAATCATCATTACTAGACTTCATATCGTCCCATTGCGAGGGTAACGTCACAAACCATCATCATACACCACCCCTAGATAAAAATGCCATGCAGTTCTGGTCGTTGACTCCCAAATATTTGTTAATAACCAGGATATGTCAGCCCAATCCAGACCAATATCTAAAAAGCAAATATAGAAGATATTGAACACAACACCCCGGTAAAGTCGTGTTTTAAACCGGAGTACCTTTTTAAAACGGCTTGTGGGGTATTCAGGAATTTGTGCGTAAAGCCACTCCACTATACGTCCCTCGGACTGCATCAATATGTACATGAAACTCTCCGACGTTGTTCATTAAGCAGTTTCACATCTTTCTCCATAAGAGGAGAATGTGGGAGCGATTTGGATCTCTGGGTACTGATGAAACTAAGTCTCAATGCCGGTAAGCGTGATATACCTGTACCTCAACACTCCTCAAGTCTAGGAGGTTGTAAGTAGAAAAACGTATTGGGGAAGCTATGGAATTTCCCAAACGTTTATACTCTTACACAAACAAAATTACCAATAGAAGAGGAATATCCCAGCATTGTGGGGAGATAGTAGGACTGAATCATTATTGGAGGACGATTACAGTAAAGCACAGATATTCTAAAATCAGTTGTGCAATGTATATACCGTAGGGGTGCGCTCCCCCCAGTTCATAACCCCCCCCAGATACTCTGGACACGAAAACCGTTAAGGAAGCCAATGTATTTGGTCTGCTAAATAAACTTGATATGAGCAAATCCATGGGACTCGGTGAAATGCATCCTGGGATACTAAAAACATTAGCAAATTTTTCTACCTAAAAGAACATCATACTAAGCTTTATCTTCAAAACAGATACGAGACATGGACCTGAGGACTATCGACTTGACCAAAGTGGTTGTTAAAACTTTAGAAAAGATAGTTCGTAGGTGTTCGCATGAACAAACGTACATTGAAGGGAACAACTCTACGGAGGCTCGGTTCTCCAACATTATCAAAGACCTGGGATTATTCGAAAATGTGGAGTTGACGACTCGGTGAAGAAATAGACGCCATCACGCCTAGACTTAATATTTACAAAAGAAGGGTTACTCGATGACAACCTCTCAAACGTGACTCCCCTTGGATAAAACTGATCATGCCACGATAGCCTCCGGTTTAAGCAGCAAAAGTAAACTATAACATTCTACC